GTTTTCTAGTTGAAAATAAAGTTACAAATTTATGGTAACTGACAGCTTCCCCGTTTCCCTTTCTCCCAGTTCTCTCTCAAGCAGTCCCACCATTAATCACCACACTTCAATTGTTTTCTCCTATTGGAGGCCTTATTAAATGAAATAACTTTCCAATCATGACCAGATTTTTAAGCTTCTGACCAAAGAGGGTCATTTTCAGGCCACCTGATTTGCATGAATTGGCTGCTGGGCCAGTCGAGCAAGGTTAAATAACTTGTTGGGCCAGGGCGTGCATTGGCTTTCTGGAAACCCCTTGCCCTAGGTTATCACTGTACATCAGAGCAGAGGAAGCCAAGTTTGGAGCCCGAGTGACATGCAGAGCTCAGATGAGTGATAACGTGCTCACAACACACCTCCGTCAGTGTCTTCCTGCAGAGAGGGCTTTGGCTCTGCCAGCCCCTCCCGGGGAGCCCCTGGGCTGGTGGAGTTGCAGACTATTTGACATAATGAGCCTGGAGAAGCTGAGTGAAGTGGTGATTAAGGCTCAGTGAGCCTGGTTGACTTCGAACCCTGTCATTAAGCAACCAGGGGCCTTGGGAGACTCATGTAATCTCTCACAGCCTTATCTATCAGTAAGGATGATGATACTTGCCTAGTTCATTGGGTGCTTATAAAGGATCAAAAAAGATGTAACTAAGATATGAAGTTCATACAAGATGTAAGCCTTCCTTATATATAAAGGGCTTACTGCGTGCATAGATTATAGTACTTTGCAAATTTGTCTTTTCTTATCATTAACTTTCAAGGCCCTGCTATTACTGCTCTGTGGTAGCTTAAAGTTTGTAGCACACCTGCAAATATAGCTCCTCAAGCTTGCTCACAGAGGGTTTCCATTAGGAACTTTTCCAAGGGCATTTGTACCCATGGCCCTTACTTAGGACCCAAGCTTACCTGTCCAGAAAACCACAAAATATATATTAAATACCGTTCCCATTAGTTTTGTAGTTTTTTAAATAGTTGTTACTGGCTAAATGTGACTCTGACCCCTCAAAACATCCTTGAGACCTGGGAAGCTCCTAAGGTTTTATTACCAAAAAAAAAAAATTTTTTTTTTTTTAGTACTTAACTAATTAGAAATTCTTACTTATTCACGTATGGCTTTTCCTTGGCCAACTTTAAGTTCATCCTTTACTTCTTCCTACCACTTGGCAAGCATGTAAGCAACAAGCTTCTACAGTTTGAAAAATATAAACCTAATAATTTGAGTTTAAGCAAGATAGAATTAAGAATATAAATCTGCTGGTAAAACAAGTATGTAATGTGGTTCAGAGTTTAATAAGAATAACTTATTAGCTATTTGTTTAACGAGTATTTATTAAACATCCTCTGTGTCTCAGACCTTGTGTTCAAAGATTCAGGCATACTAGCGTAAATCATACATGGATTTGGACCAATATTAAAATATATATTCGGGGTGCTAAACACAAGTACTATTTCACAGGATAGAAAGTGGCAGTAATGTGAGCAAGTGAAAGTATCATGGGAGTTTAGAGGAGGGAGACATGACTGCTTTGATGGTCAGGGAAGTGGCATGTAGAAGTGGTATTGTATGGACCTAGAGGCATTCCAGGGGTGGAGGGGACATGGATAAAAAGTGATCAAGTGGGAGTAAAGTCTGTATAAAGTGGAATGGAGGGAAGAGAAGTGGAAAGGCAGATTGGACACAGGCTGGAAGGACCTTGAATGCCAATCTCAGTGATTTAGAGCTATTGAAAGTTCCTGCGTATGCTGATTGTAAGTGGTAGCATGCTTAATGTGGGGTTGGGGAGGTTCATCGGGCAGAAGAATAGAGGATGGACTTATTAGTGGGGAGAAACTGAGAGCAGTATGAGACCAGCTAGAAAGCTATAGCATTCATCCCCAGGTGACAGCTAATGTGGGTCTGATACAAGGTTAGAGTAGGAGGAGTGGAGGTAGGTAAGATTTTACAGTTAAATCAATAGGACTTTACAACTTATTGGAATTGAGAAGTGTGGGAGAAGGAGAAATTAAAAAATGGAGCTGGGGTTTCAAACCAGATTAACTGAAAGGTCAAAGAAAGGGACAAAGCAGTAAGTTTATATGGGAAGATGTGAACTTGATTTGGAGATATGGAATTTATGATACCAAAATCCATTGTGTCTGGTTTGCAGTTCTTGTGCTTGAAAATGAAGGACAGATGCTGAGGCAATTCAGAGCTTGAGACCAAGGCTTAGAAACCATCCACATGGGAGTGTCATCCTTGTCAGCAGTGAGAACATGCCACACGTAGCATGCATAGATGTGGGCTTGGGGAGGTTCAAGCTTGGTGGGAATGACTCATACGTGGCTCATAAGCATGTTTATTTGTGTGCTTTTGAAAATTTTTAAATTAAGCCAACATTTTAAAATCAGGAGATTGTACTTAAAATATTGATTTCTGGCTTCTTTTTTAAAAATTGAAAGATGAGGCTAACTATGAACTCACACTGCCCCGTGACTAAAACAGCTTGAGCTGGACAGGGCCTGCCCCCTTGAGATCACAGATGAATTCTCTAATTCATCAGAGTCTCCACCACTCCCATCATCTCCTAACATTTAATATTAAACAAAAAGTAGATTAATGTTTGTCTAGGGCTGGGGAGGGGGGCCGGAAAGAGGCCTGGACCTATGGATGAAGGGTATGGGGTTTCTTTTTGGGGTGATGCAGTGTTTTAAGTTGATTGTGGTGATGGTCGAACTACTCTGAACATGGTAAGAACTGTACAGTTTAAAAGGTTGAAGTATATGATATGTGGATTATCTAAATAAAGCAGTTTTATAAAAATGCAAAAAAGAAAAATGACAATCTTTGTTCCCCTGCAGTTTTGGTTTTCTTACAGCAGAAAATATTTCTGTTAACGTGTCTTAATCTAAAAGGTGAAAATGAAAAACTGAGAAGGTTATATATTTCAAGAAAAAAAGAAGAGAGTGCACCTCTTTATGGTAGTGATGGATTTGATTTCTACATGTCAGATGTAAACCCCTGGCCTCTTTATTAATGTACATTACTTCCTGGCTAGTCAGGGTATTTGGGTGCTAGACAGGAAGAAACATGGGCATGGCCAGCTCCCTGAGGTCCACCCACAACTAAGAAGAGAAGGAGAAGAAATGCAGAAAAGTAGGAGTAATCAACATGGCACCAGGAGAAGCAGAAGAGGGCAGGAGATTGGGTTCCAAAAGAGGGGGAAGCTCTACGAATTGCTGACGAAAGGTGAAGGAGGATGGGGACAGAGAAGTCAGAAGGTTACAGGAGACCATCCAGTGAGAGGGCTTAGAGACAGAGGGTGGGAGAGAGATGCAGCTGTGCATGACAACGTGCCGCCCCGAACACAGTGCTCTAGAGGAGCCGGTATTTTACCCTTAGGCACAGAGGACTGCAAAGTAAGGGAGTGATGTGAGCATAGGACCACAGCCTACATGCTTTGTTTTCAAGTTAATTTGTATGTTTTTTCAATTGTATGTATGATGAACCCAAGGTCACCCCAAATTTTACTCTATGCTATGCCAAATTCTCCTTCATTCTGCTATTGCCAGGCACGTTGAGGTCCCAGTTGTCGATGTCCATCTAACTCATTCCTGTACCTGCTCGATCCAGAGGAAATGTGTGGTTGGTGCTGTCTTACCCAGGGCCTTTCAACCTCAGCACTGTTACTTAGTGGACTGGACAATTCTTTGTTATGGCGTGGCTGTCCTGGGCATCACAGGCTGTCTAGAAGCATCATCAGCCTTTATCCTCTAGATGCCAGTAGCACCCACACTTGGCCATTGCCAGCAAAACCACCTGCAGCCTAGAACCACTCAATCACATTCACCTGTTGAAGTATTTGTGCCGAGAACCTTTAGGCCATGTGAAGTTAGCAGATCACCCTGAGAGATGTCTGGCCTAGAAAAGAGGACCAATTCCTACTCCACACTGAGGGGTAAAAATCAGATGGTGCAGCGAGGAAGCAACAGAGGAGAAACCCAAGGCCACGTTCCACTTTAGCCGTTTCAGCAGACTTCAGCCACTCCGAATGGGGTCTCCTCATTGAAAGAGGTGGCCCCTGGAGGACAAACTAAATGTCCCACTGTGCCCCCCAAGTAAAATTCCTCCTGTGGTCCATGGCCAAAGTTGGCACAAGAGTTTGTAGGAAACCTCAGCGTCACTAGACGTGATAGTGGGAACTGGCTTTGAGTGGTGGGACTTGTGAGCCTGCCTCTCAGGAGGAAGAGGAGGAGAGCAGGAATGGTTTCCTCCTGATGATGTCAAGGGAGATCAGTGAAGCTCTGCAGGTATAAGGTAGTAGCTGAAATGCAACTGGAGTAAACTAGAAACTCCAATAAAGTTTACTTAAGATCCTCCCCATTACAGGAAAATCTTAGAAGGTAAAAGAATGTTTCTCTTGGGATAAGCATGTCTAATACAGATTAGATATGAAAGGTGAGATCTTCCAGATTCCTCTTCTGCCTATGTGTGTGTGCAGGGGTTAGAAGGGCAGAAGAGTTTTATGTGCATATGCCACCATTTCTATACTGATAAGGAAAATTGAATTAAGACCGTTAGCAAGTTAAAAATGTCTTACAACTCTATTAAACTATTTCACAACTGGCTCTTATTATATGCAGTAGCCTCATGCCTTTCTGCTATGGAAGATGAGTGACTTGATTTATTATTAGCAATGGCTCCAAGCTGCCTTGCTGCGCAACCTCTCCTTGATATATAGCTCTGTTATCTTTTAGGCCAGTGGTGGTCACTTTCACTGAGACTGAAGGAAACTCATGCCAGTTTTTATTTTTCATCTCATATTCCTTTCGTCTCATATTCCTGCTCTCCTTCTCTGATTCATCAATTTTTGTGGCAATGAACTGAGTCCCCAAGTAGTTTCTGAGCAATGAGCAAAGACTGGACTTTTGTTTTTGTGAAACACTGTTAGAAGAAAGCGCATCCATAATCGTGATTTTGCCCTGTTCCATTTCAGGCACTTCTGGGTCCAGCTGTGTGACAGCTGCCCTAGGAAACACCTGGAGTCACAGTGTGAACACCCGGCTGATTCTACAGTTCCTTGGTTCAGAGAGAAGACAGGTGAGTGCTTTGACACTGTTCTCTGACTGTCAAGTTTAGGGAACAAAATGTACCAAGCCCTCTGAGTGTTCATCTTCTGAAAGCACTGGCCACATTGTCACACTCTCAGGTGGTGACTAAAGAAACCAGCACTCCTGCCTACCCCAGTAGCAATTATGATAAAGTGAGGAGCCGAGGCACCTACCAGAAAAGATATGTAAGAAGGACCCCAGAGAGTTAGCATGCCTCCTGCTATCTGCCAGTGGCGTGTGAGTGACCAAGGGCCACACCTCTCGGGATCTCAAATTCTCCGTCTCTGAAGGGTGAATTATCACTTCACTTAACTGGTATTTGTTGAGGACTAGATAATTTGTGTACAAACTAAATAGTGATGGTGCTTTTCCATGTAGTATGCTTTGGAAAACCTTAAGCCAGACTGATCCTGGCAAGTGAATAAACTATTTTCCCAGATCCTGGGTACTTTTGTGTTAACTCATAAGCCAGTAGATTAAAGTGCTGAATGATGCCAGGGAGGCCTCCAAGAGAATATGCCTCTCCCAGAGCTCTGTTGATGGTTTCTATCCTGGTCTCAAATGAGAATTCCCCCTTCTATCTAGAAAGGTTACTTCCTACCCCTTTCTCTCTCTCTTTTTTTTTTTTTTGGCTTTTTTTTTTAATTAAGGTATCATTGATATATAATCTTATGAAGGTTTCACATGAACATTGTGGTTTCAACATTCACCCACATTATCAAGTTCCCCCTCCCTACTGCAGTCACTGGTAAGATGCTATAGAGTCACTACTTGTCTTCTCCATGCTGTACTGCCTTCCCCATGACCTACCTATATTGTGAGTGCTGATTATTCCTACCCATTCTTAATCTTCCCTTCCACTTCAAAGAAAGGGACACCACAGTCTGACCCCTTTGGTAAAATGCTTCATGATCAGGAAATTTATCTTTCCTGAATTCTAACCTCAACTTTATACTACAGTGTGGGCCAGTCCCCGCACGACCTCTCCAGCGAGTGAGAGAGTAAAAAGGCAGGGTGATCACCCCAACTGGTTGGATGGGGCAGAATTCAGACCCCAGATTTGTCCATCTTGCTAAATATGTAACCAATCCAAGTTCTTAATTAAAAAGGCGCGAAGTGTCATGCTGGCGGCCCTTTCTGGAAGAGGTAGCCGGAGGGGAGTTGTTGCCCTTTACCTGTTAGGTAAACTGGCTCTTTTTCAAGGAGTCAGGATCATCAGAAACAGACATGAGCCTTTGCCTGTTCCAGACATAACTTTCCAAGTGCTCTTGGTTACAGACTAGAGGATTCTTCTTGGTTTGCTTGGGACTGCGTAAATAACATTCCAGCTTGATGACTGAGTCAGCCATGTTCTCAGAAGATGGAGCTGCTCGTTTGCATCTAGGGCAACATTCTTGAGTCTTCAGGCCCTGGCACGCTCATTACCTCAGTGACACCTTTTCCCTGATGATTAAAGCATCTTGGGTTTGAATCCATTACTTCTCTTTTCAATAGAACACATCCAGAAATATTCCTGTAGAATCTAAATGACCTTGGTTTGTACCCTAGATTATAAATTGTGCTAAATAAACCCTGTTTGCAGCTGTCAGGGATATCATTAAGAATTGTCAGATGCCACTACCAAAACTCTTATTTGAGGAAGCAAAATTTCTTGCAATCAGTGTTGAGCCATTCATTTTCATGGGTCCTTAACCACACTCCTTGAAAACTTGGAGTGTCTCTCTGTTTTAGATTTTAAATGGCACACACTGATTTTGTAATTCAGTCTATTATCTATGGTATCATGGATTCCAGGTTCCCAAATCCTGCTTTTAGTAATTCTAGTTAGCATTTATTAGTAAATAAAGAAGTTAGAGCCATGTGTTTTTTCCTTTTGTTTTGGTAAATGAACCAGTCATTCCCATTTTGTCAGTGTCAACAGGAAGTGGCTGGTAGGTAGGACAAATAAAATACTATTATTTTGTGCCTCTTTGGTAACTGGAGGGTTTTTGTGGCTCTTGGTTCTTGGCTGAAAAGGTCAAATACAGGCCCCTAGTCACAAGAAGAACCAGGAGCAGAGAGTGGATGGATCAGTGACAATCTATCAACTCATTTCCTATTAGGCAAGTCAATGGTGTTTTCTTAATTTACAAAGGCCAATTTGTTTCTATCATTCCTAATCAATCAAGAGCAGATTTAAATGCTTTTGAATCATGTTTTCAAACAATAATTAGAGATTAAAGTAAAATATAACCGGCATTAAAAGACCAACCCCAGAAATTAATCTATAGACAAGTACATGCCTTTTGGAACCAGTTGTTACATTTGTGGCCTAATGACTAGGATAAAGTCAGATAGAGCAATCTCTCTACATCTGGTGACCTGACCTCGCCCTAGCAGAGGGAATGCTCTGTGACTCCCCGAGCCTTGCCTATGGTCCTCATGGCAAAGCAGAGAAGTCATTTGAAGGTGAGCCTTTTCTGGGATATATGCACAAAATAATACTTTAAAGCTAGTACTTAAGGTAATTGCTCTGAATAATACTTAAAACACTGCTTAGTAGGAAAATATTCCTGAATTATTCTAGGGTAGGCAAATCTATGGAACACCAGCCACTAGAAGATACCAGGTATAGCTTTTTTTTTCAATGTGCAGAGGCCACTACACCAAGGGATCAAGGTTATGGAATGAGGATTATGTTTTATCCTGTTTCTATGACATTGAGCTCTACACCAGGGCTCTTGAATGTGAGGCTTAGTCTGAGATCATAGGGCTGGAAGGGGGTCAGGTCAAGCTGAGCAGATCTGTGAACTGATTAACCCAAGAGCTGAACTGTATAGTCCAAGGGAAGGAATCCTCCCTGGCTGATTATTTTCTTTACACCCTGGAAACTTTGTAAAATTATATAACCAAGAAAGAAATCTCCTTATCAGGGCATAAGCCAAGTTAATTCTCTTGTTTATTCTGCTTCACTGTTTGCAGAAACCCTTTTAAGAAGCTGGGAAACATTTTCTTTTGGACTAATTTAGCTTTTTTCCATTTGACTTTTATTTACTCTTTTTCTGCTTTGCTTCAATCCTGCCCCACCCTTTTTGCCACATTTTTATTCTTACCAAAGGCATGTCCTTAGAGTAGAAAAATGGCCTCTACTAGGTTGATTTTTTTTTAATAATCAAAACTATGTTTTGAGCCATCATGTGCATAACATGGGATGCAAAGAAGTAGAAGTCACAGTTCCTGCCTTCAGGTTTCTTCTGTTCTAGTATGAGAGATGAGATACACCTACACACTACACAAATAATCAAAATGAAGGATAGGAGTTAAAGAATACTCTGGTACTGGGGGACTGTCACAGGGCTGTGTTTGATTTGCTACCTAATAAGTGGTTAAAATAGTAACTGCTTTGAATCCAGAGGTAGCACAGTAGTCTTAGGAGAAGGTGGGCTGGTGTCCCACTTTATATTTGCATTTCCCAAGCCTAGCTACACTTTAGACTCATCACAGGAACATTTACAAAATACCAACCCAACCCCAGGGCCCCACCCTGATCAGTTAAATCAAAAGCTCTGCCAGTGGGGCTAGGCAACAGTGACTATTTTATTTGTAAAGCTCCCCTAGGTGAATCTACTGTGCAGCCAAGGTTGAAAACCTCTGCCTGAAATAGATAAAATTAGGTTATTGAGAAAAAAAAGGGAAGATGCTGGGGTGAGGGTGAGCCACAAAATAAGAAAAACAGGAGCGTAAGCTGCACATTCACAAAAAAACAGGGTGGCTTTTGCTTTGGAACAAGAGCAGCAGGTTTGTGCCCTCATTCACCTGACAAGCCTTTATTCAGTCACCCCTTCTGCACTGCTCACTCTGTAAGATGCTAGAGATTAAAAATACGACTGAGTTGATGCCCTGTAGCTGTTCACAGTCAAGTTGGGGAAATAGACAAGCACGTGAACAGCACGTGCTGTACAAGCTTCGTGACTCAGGTGAGTGTAGAGGATGGGGGGCCCCCTACTGCAAAGGAAGGTTCACTAGTGATTAATGGGGCCAGCCTGCAGGGTGGAGTGGCTGAGGCCTGCCTTTGGGACACACTCACAGTAACCATGTGCACTGGAATGAGGGACTGGGAAAGCTAGAGTGAGGGTGGTTGAACTTGAAAAAATGATGAACACACTTGGTGAAATATTCATACTTATTTCCCATCAAATTCTCCTGAAGTCTGTTCCCACAAAACACATATGGGATTATATAAAATTTTAAGTGCCCTGGAATGAGTATAATGAACAAAATTAATCCTAAATAAGCTTCACACCCCCTTGATGAAATAAATATTATGACTCTCTAATTTCAACAAATCAGAAAGAGGTGATTTTTTCATACAGGAGGTTTATTTAAATGGACTTTATAATAATATTTTCATCTTCTATTTAGAAGACACCCTGGAATTTTAGAACACTTAAGGGAAGAGCCTAAAGTACCCAGTAAATTGTTGACAAGACCAATAATGCAGCTCAAGCCCCTGATCTTTACTTGAATCCTCAGACTTTTCTCCAAGTTACAGGTTGTTTTGCATCTTGGAGGTATTTTGTGTTTCTTTCCTGGTGATGTAATTCTTCTCTCAGTATGCATTTTGAATTTTAAAAGACTCAGACACTATTACTTCGAAGAGTTGTCACACCAGCCTTAATCGGCCCCACTTCCTCCAGCCTTGCCCACGTTGTACCTCTCACTTGCCTTTATTCTTGCACGTGAGACCTGAATTATGAGCCCCTTGAGGCTGTGGCTGAATCTTATCTATGTGCCCTCAGTGCCAAGGTCAGTGCTTGACACTTACACATTCAATACACTTATTTGAAAGACACAGAGAGAAAGAAACTCCTTGAATCCATATATGAACCAAGTCTTGAGGAAAGTCATACTGTGTATTGAGAATCACTCTCTCCCATAGGAACTGAGTTCTGAAGTTTAATAGCTCTTTTAAAGTATTAGTAATCATCAGTTTAAAAAAGTTAGCATCAA